ATACAATCCTCCAGGGCAAGCCACTGTAGAGAGAATCTGTACGTATGCCCAGTGATGCTATGTGACCTTCCTCCATAACTTAAAACTATTGGTTGAACAAAGATGCCTACAGTCTATAACTGGGTAGAAGAGAGGCAGGTGGGGTTTCAGTTCCCTGGCTTGGAGTCTGAAGCAGGACCATGAGAGAAGGGAGAGAGGAAGTAGAAAGAGGAGAAGATGCCATGAGCAGGTGAATCATGAAAACATGACCATGAGGGCTGGCCAGTTGGAGTAAGAGTGGCCCAGGCAGAATATGACAAATTATATTTTGGGGTTATTGACAGGGAAGAAGGCAAAATAGTTTAGAGGGTAGACATCTGCTCAGATCTAGTGCTTAAAGACTTAGTACAAATATAAATGTTTTATGTCTTTTATCTAAGAACTGAATGATCAAAGGCAGTTAAGAAAAGTCCGATTTGAGATAAAAAAAAATTACTACATTTGAGCTTCCTGTATGAATCTGTGGACAAGTCTTCCTGGGTCCTTAGTAATGAATAGAGTGCTCAGTGGGCTGTCTGGTCTGGCTAACAATGTGGCCGACTCCTGTCACTGTCCCTCTGCTGGGGAATGGAGCTGCTTCCTTCTCTAGTGGGCCTGCTGCAAAATACAAGGAATTGCTGCAGTTTACCCAGGACTTTAGAAAAAAAGCAAAGAAAATCCTAGGGAAAAAGAATCCTCTCCACACTCAGTGGGGAGTAGGCCAATCCCATGGAAGGCAACAGAAAGCTTAAAAAGATGGCACAGGGCCAGGGTAGCTGGAACCCAGGGCAGACGGTAAAAAAAAAAAAAATTATTCCAAATTTTCAAATCCACCTAAGAGGCAAATGGTGAACTTTCTAAGATTTAAAACCAGACAATTTTGTTTCAGGTGTTCTTAGAGCCAGTGGTCACAGGAGGGAAGACACATTTCCAGCCAGAAGTACTTAATAGAAAGAGTAAGGCAGCTGAAAACTTCCAGAAAAACAAAAAACCAACCAACCAAACAAACAATGCCCCCCATTGTTCTGTATAGTTATAACCAAATATGTGACAACTGCCACAGGACTAAGAAATTTCACAAGTACTGCATCTCGAGACACCTAACAACTGTTGCTAACTCACTGCCAAGTGGAGCAAAGACTGAGCAGATCAGAACTTACCTGAACTGTCACAATCATGGGCTCCAAGTCTTGATAGACAATCTTCACTTTTTTCGCAGCTTGCTTGGCATGAGCATAAGAGTCGGCAGCCACAGCACAAACAATCTGACCCACGCAGGTTACCTGAGAAGAAGCAGAGGACACACAGAGGGAATGAAAGTCGGAGCTGCCAGGTCCTTGTCAACCAGGGAGGAAGAAGGACTTGGCATGGTGGGGGAGGGTACCACAGAGCATGAGCTGGTGTGAACACTGCCTCAGCCACCACCAGCAATGTCCCTCGGATAAGTTACCAAAGCCCGTGAGCCTCAGTGTCTTTATCTTAAAAGAAAGAGAAGTGAGCCAGCTTAGGTTGTTCTCTCTGCCTCAAGTCAGTTACAAAACAGTACAGGTCATTAGAAAGTATATGTGTATACATATACACATGTATACATGTACACACACAGGTATGTATATATATATGTGCATATATACATTCATATGTGTATAGGAATATAAAACTCTGGCATCCATTGCCATGAGAGCCTGAGACACTATCATCACACTACCTCATCCTGTGCATACAGGCTTTCCTCTTCTCTGCCATTGTCACCAGGCACATCTTGAGCTGTTATCACATCAACCACGCCAGGTGATGCCAAGGCCTCAGAGGCATCAAGGGAGCTAGGAAAGAAACAGAAACACAGTTTGTCACCCAGTGGCAAGGACCTCATCCATGTGAGGAAGGGAACTCTGAGAACCATCCTGTGAGCCACATGAATATCAGCAAGTCCACAGTGTGGGAGTACTAACACGAGGCAGACGTTGCAGGAGGTGGAGGACACTGGTCCCCCTGGGCACAGACTATCCTCACCTTTTAGGGTGAGTCTGTGCTACCTAGGCCAGTGCTCAGGTGCTCACAGTTTGTGAAGCTTGAGCTCCTCTGAAGGTAGACATTCATAAAAGTCAGAGAATCACAGCTTTGGGGGTCGAATGAGGCAGGAAAGGTGTTCTTGCCCCATTAAATTCTTAGATAACAGCGTCTAGTTCTTCCAAGGAAAGCTGCTCATTCAGCAGGGCATCCTCGGCTACACTCCCAAGCCCACAGTTTTTCTATCATCTTGTATTTTCAAGATACATACTCAGATTATGTTTTCAGTATGTTGGGTAGGATTAATTGCTAAGAGGCAACCATGTCCCTAGGTACCTGCTGGGTATTCCAAGCCACCTAACTTGGCTATCATAGCTTACATGATTTTAGCATGTGGCTTGCTGCTGGTTACCACTGCCAAGAAGAGTTCCCCTGCCAACACGGACATATCATCGCAAAACACTGCCTCCCCTGTGGCGTGTTTAATGCCAGACTGATGCATGATGGGACGCCCGATTGGGTCTTGCAGAGGCTGTTGGGAGTCTACATCCTGTGTTAAGAGAGCAGAGAACAGAGCAAAATGATTAAGCAAGACTATTCATGGGTCAGGAGGATCATGAGTCAGTGGGCATCTTTTCCATTCTCTTGAAGCAAGCTTTCTAAAGTAGCCTAGTTTGACTTACACTGGGTTTGTCTTCATTCCTGTTGCTTATCTGTGTGAAACCGAGAAGGTACTCACGTGTGCTAAAGATGATACAAGTTGAGACTTGACTTGAACAAAGATAGATTTGGTGACAGCCCGTGTCTGCCCAGAGAAGGGTACATCAAGACTTCTAAAGGCAGCTTTGTAGTTGATAGGAAGACACAGGTATATAGTTTTATTATGCTTCCGCCTATAATGTGGGTCTGAATTGTTCCCCCAAAGGCTCATGTGATGAAGGCCTGGTGACCAGCCTGAGGCGACACTGAGAAGTGGTAGAGCCCAGCAGAAAGTAGTTAGGTGACTAGGAGCCACACCCTTGAAGAAAATATCAGGACTGTGGCTCTTTCTTCCCTTCACATTTACTTCCTGGCTGCCGTAAAGTAGGCAAGCTGGCTGTACAACACGTTATCCTCCAGGAGGTGCTGCCTCATCACTGCCTCCCCAAACTGGAGCCAACCACCTTAGTGCAAACTCCTGAAACCACGAGCCAAATAAACCTATCCTCTTTTTAAGCTGATTTATCTCAGGTGCTTTATCATAGCAAGGGCTAAAAAGCTATCACATTCCCTGCAAACTAATGTGTGTTAGCTAAGTACAGAGACATCCACCATGGAGCCCGCTGAGCTGGGCCCAGGGCAGACTTCTTTAATGGGAGCAGAGGGCAGAGGTAAGCAGGCCTTTGCTGATAGAAACAGGAGTCTGAGTTCATGTGAGTGACTAGCGAGGTCAGGAGGGTGGGAGCTTTGGGCATATAGTTGTTTAGGGGCTACCTGAAGTCCTGTGAGTAATCCCTTATCTATGCCCCTGTAAATTAATCCAATGCATTCATCATTTGATCAAGCTGGACTTGGATGGGCTCATTCCTTTGTCCTGTCAGTGGTGCCCGAGGGGAGGGTGAACAGATAGATGTTAGTTCATGTCTCCTCCGCAGAGTAACGTGGAACTGGGTGAGAAGGCTCTCCAGGTAAGATCCAGGCAGCAGCTGCCTGAACACTCACCACCACTGAGAAGACGACAAGAAGTGATAACTCAGCTTAACTGTTGTCTCAGAAACCACACACACACACACACACACACACACACACACACACACAGCCTCCTAAAACGTGGACGTGAAATGAATACACACAACGCAGAAGGTCTCTGCTGCCTCCTGCTGGGGGAATCCTGGAACCCTCCCCCAATTATACAAATAGGTTGTTCTGTTTCAGTAACTTTATTAAACAGATACCGTGTTTGCACAAAAATACTTCAAGTCCAATGAGACCTGGGCACTATCAAAATGTAAATTACTCCTATCCGATAGACTGAAACTTTATCTCGCTGTTGCTTTAAAACACATTTTAAAAATTCTGTGCAAAGCTTTGTACATTTTAATGTTGTAAGTTCATTTTCTCCCCCAGTGATCTGCCAATTCTTTGTGTCTATTAATCCGTAAGGTTTTGCTTTGACTGTTTCTTATCGTTCACACATTCTCTTTTATGTAGCTGGATCTTTCAGGCTTTTTTTCTATCTGGGTTTCAGGTTGTGTCTGGAGGGCTCAGACTCAGAGAATCTGCACACACCTTAACCTAGTGATTTCATGGTGCAGTTTTAATGTTTAAAAATTAATAGATCTGGAATTTACATTCACTGTAAGGTGGGAAACACGCCTTTGTTTTTTGCTTTTAAAATGACTTGCACAGAAATCTCTACCTAAACTCTTCTTTTTGTTGTTTACTTGAAATGTGCTTTTTACTTTTTGTGGTGACATACTTCCTGGTCTGTTTCTGGACTTGGTGCTGCTTTATCGTTCTTTTAAATTTATTTCTGAACCCTATAATAATCATGTTTAATCATATAATGCCTGCATACTTAACTATTGGCGCTATAGACTCCCTCTCTGTGCTGAGTAGGGTTGGGCACAATACTCACTACTGTTTGTTTTTATAAATGTCTATTTTCATATTTCTAGATAAACCTTAAAATCAAAATCTCCAAAACTCTTGTCAGAATACTGATTGGGAATATATTTGATATATACATTATTTAGGAGAAATTGTTATTTTTATATACTATGTGTTCCTAGCTGTGCATTACATTTCTTTTTACGTAAATATGCTTTTTTGAATGTTTATCCATAATTTAAAAGTTTATTTTACATATGCACTGTATATTTTTCCCTCGTTTCATTTCTAGGAATTTAGTTTTTTGTTTGCTATCGTTAGTAGGACCTATCATTGTACTGCATTTTCTAACTGACTATTGCTTATGAAAACCATTGCACAGCTGAACCTTTCTTAAAAGCTGAGCCCATGCTGTGTCACGTATGCGTCAGTAGGTGGCAGAGAGGAGAGAGCTTCTGTCTACTCTCAGTGTTCTGACCAGAGAACATCTGAAGGGTTAGTAGCCTAACATTCCCCAAGAAAAGCCTGAGAGCATCAACAGTTTGGCTCCAAGGGGGCCCAACAAAGAGTTAACTTTAGACGACCACCAGCCCTGTGCTGTGCAGGCCTAACAGGTGAGCAGACCATGCCCAAGATGACCCCTGCCTGGTTCCATATTCCACGAGCAGGGAATAGCACTCCTGAGATGACTCCAGACACTCAGAGACCCCGGGCACCACTAAGAGGAGCAAGTAAGTAGTGGAGAAATGGAAGAGAAAGAGAAACAGAAGGATGTGGGCACAATGAAGAGAGGCAGAACTGGAGACTCGAGTGTGGTAGGAACAGCCTGATGTGAGGAGATGTCACCTGGAACCATGGTGGGGTCCTAGCCTGTGCTGCCACCAGGGGGCATGTCTGGGCCCATGGGTTCAGACATAGGGTTCTGTTAACACCAAAGGCTAGGCGGCTGTCCCTGGTATGGGCTGCTAACTAAGAACATGTTAATTTCTGAGTGCTGTGCAGAACTGGCCCCGTTCCTTACCTCGGTACCATGGGAGAGCGCACCTTGGGGGCTTGAGAGCAGGAGAGCTGACCCTGTCCCTAGCAGCCCACACATTGTGAGAGTTGTGAGTGAGCCGGCCCCAAGAATATAAGCCTGGGAGATCTGACTCTACTACTCACCTCTAGTGCCGTGGTGTGGATGAGGAAGAGATATCCTTTTCCTCCCTCACTCCTCACCACCTACAGGAAAGCTGGCCCAGGGGTCTTGAGAGATGGAGAACTGATCCTGTCATTCACCAGAGGCAACACTTGGGAGAGTGGGCCCCTGCACCTTGCCTGGGCAGTAGGGTAGAGCTGGTCCTGGTTTCAGTGGTTGCTGGTTAGTCAGTCCCAATGGTATGAGAGCTTGAGAGTGGGAAAGCCAGCGGACTGGCCAGCTTGGATCTCAGACCTAGATCCAGGGCTTTGAATTGTCCCATCCCAACACCTACCCCACTGACTGGAGTCCATGAAAGGACCAGTCCTACAAATCCAAAGTTACCGGATCTCCATGACATGGGACAACAACGGGATATCCCAGAGGAGTCCCAGTAAGGTTCCAGTTTTGGTAAAGTAGCAGTACCCCGAGGCCTCAAACCAGACAAATGACTTACTGCAATGAAGTGTGAACAAAAGACGCTTCCCCAACAGGGCAGTTGCAAGGGCGGAGAGCAGGTATGAGGGAAGGGGAAGTTGAGTGGGATTAGGGGTGCATGTGAAATTCACAAAGAACCAATAAAAAGTAAACAACAACAAAACATAGTAGCAACTTGAAATTCAGAATAAAGCCAGGTCAAAAGATGGTTGCAACCTCTTTAAGCTGTTGTATTCATTCAGAAAATGGACTCACCTTAAATGACTGTGTCCCTTGAGGCATGGTCAAAGGAAAGTCTTCCAGAATGTGTAGGAGTTTCTGTGAGATGTCAGGGTATCTACGGGGGTCCTGGAATGAAGACATGTAGTTTGTTTCATGGAAAGTACTTCCTGTGAAGACTGCATTGACAAAGGATTTTAAATGTTGCTGTAGCATCTCTACTGACTTATTTTTATTGTTTTGGGAAATCTTGAGTGAACTTGAGAGCTTTGGATTTCGCTGAGTATGGGCCTCAGAAATGTAGCTTGCAAGCAGAACTATGGTGAGGTCAGCACATGGTGCTCCCTTAACCTTCCCAGAAGCTGGAGAAGCATCTAGAACACACTTTCTTCCCCAGAGCATCCTACAGACAAACACAACTTTACCCTCATCTTTAACTGCTTCAACACGTCTAAGTAAAACTTGAAGAGGAAACTGATGGCAAGAGTCTTTCGGTATTCCACCATTCCTCCAGGGGCTGCTGTCAGGAGGGAGACTTCTTCACGAATCATCTTGCCCGCGTCATCCAGCATCTCTTCATCCCAATGCCTAAGCACAGGAGGGGATGCAACCAGCTCAGTGTGGGCAGGGCCAAACAAGCATCCAATACTTACCAAAATAAATGTCAACCATAAGCAGAGGTTGCTCAAGTTTATTTTCCCACACAAGGAATATCACGACACCCACCGATGTCATCGTAGATGCCTTTTTCTTGTGCTTACTTAAGCACTATACTCCATAGACAGAAGGCACTACTCCTTCCCGTTGCCAATCAGGTCAGTTTCCGCTGACGAGAGACTTACAGAGTAAGAGTAAAACTTTGTAAGTCACCTTCCAATCAGCTGCTGGCAGGACTTGTTTGCGCTGACTACAGTCTCACCGATCCCTCCGTACAAGATGCTCAGGTCTGTTATAGTGCTTGTGTCCTCTTTGAAGACGACTCTCATTCCAGCATTCACTGTTGCAAATGCATTTTGCTGACGAGGGGCCTGTCTGAAGGCTGATACAAACTCCCACTGGAAAATGAGAAGAATGACTATTTACTTGGAAATGTCTCAAACCTTTAACAGTCGTAAGAACAGAACCATAAATAAATATATATCCTTCACTTAGCTTCGTGGCTTCACCAGTGATGAATCATGTATTCCCCCCTTAAGCTTTAGACATGCCCCTCCACTCGGTCTAAGTTGAAATGAATCATTGACAACGTGATGCTTTGTGTCTAAATATTTCCATATGTAACTCCTCAAATACAAGTTCTTTCCCCATAGCTCTAGGTCAATGGCATTATTAACAGCAAACCTAACGATACAACGATACAAAGCTAACACACAGTCCATATTCACATTCCTGCATGCATGCAAGTAGGACTCCCCCGACCCGGCCTCGTGCTCCTAACCTCATGTGTGCCTTACCCATGAAGGTGGTATCTTCACAGCTCTCTTACTTCCTTTGCTCTACAAGAGTTTCCTGCTTTGTTCTTTCATGACACTGATTTGTGGAATCACAGATTGTGGACTATCCCCTAAATTAGGTTTATCTGATTCTATCTTTATGAATTGATTTAGGTTGACCTTTGTGGGGTGACAGGCACATCACATGGGCAATGTAGTATGGGATGTGTTTTTTAACTTCAGAGTCACCCTTCTTGCTTCAGATACTCTCACTAAACACATGAACTCTGGAATAGGCTCCATGGTTAGAACGTTTCTCTTCTCAATTTGGCAGAACTTGTTTTGAAGTCGTAGCATCTTTGATGTTAACCTACAAGGTTCTGCATGTTGGGATCTTCTGATCAATCAAAACCAGCAAATCTTCAGTTTCATTGTTTAATGTATTCTGTCCATCACTGACCTTGAGCTAAAACTGTAACCTGTAAGCTCCGGCAGACAGAAGTTATCTATTCATGTTTTGAGGGAATCAAAGTGACTATGAGCCTGTCCTCGGCATGCCATCTGTTTAGAAGCTCCTCAGTAAATGTTAGTGAATGATTGGCACTGCAGACAAGCATCAGCAATGAGTCTGGTGGCAGTAATGATTGGGTCTCATGTCTTGGTTAAACTGATCTCAGAAACAAAACGTGAGCTACAATAGTAACACTTGATATTGTTATTGAACTAAAAGTAAGTCAAAGCTGTACTTCTTCCTCAATGGCACAGGAAAGCCTGATATGCTAAGAGCATCTTTGTATAACCAGAGGCCACTGGTGCCTCATGCACGTCTCTGCAATTATCGTTAATTTAAAGAAAACATTAATATGATATAGTAAGGCCCAAATGACATTTAAAATGTTTCTTTATTCTACTTAGCTCTTCTGGGGTTGGCGGTGGCTTGGGGTTCTGGTTCCCCCAAGCTTTCACTGTGATCATTGGTTGAGATGATAAAACTTCCTCGGAGTGCAATCTCCTCACCTATGCATTAGGGGAATTGGCCCTTTCTACTGAGCTGCTTATGGATTCAAGTGTCCTGAGCCATAACGCTGCTGAAGAAGTGTGAGGAGATAGGACACCATCCTGATGCTGCAAGATATTGTTGAAGGACCTGGCTACATTTAATTTGATATTATTTATACCTTTGCATGCATAAGGTACTTGTGACAAATTCTGTGTTTCTCTATGCCAAAGCTAATTCAAGATAAAAAGAGAGATGCCAGTGACTATTATAGACCTTGTGACCTCATACCTTCCTGGTGAGGGGCACGAAAACTGAGATGAGCACTTGCTCTGGCTTCAGGCTTGCATCTGGAACTCCAGCAAGAAAATGATCATTCAGAGGAATTTGCTGTGTTCCTTCTGTGAAGGGAAAAACATTTTATCAAAGGCTTAGACCATTGCTACTCTTCTTTTGAATCCAGTGGTGTTCTTCTAAAAAACAAGTTCCAAAATGGAAAATAAATGGGCAAATAGCTACCTGTGATGTCCTGACTTCCCCTGACCTGACTCATCTGGGAGAGACAGCCTTCTCACTGTAGTAGCATCCAGTGTGTGGGAGACTCTTACTGTGTATGACTTACGAAGCAGAACAACCTGAATCAGTGTGTGTGTGTGTGTGTGTGTGTGTGTGTGTGTGGTCACAGTGCCAGATGATGTGTGTGGAGTGTACAGGGGACAAGGACCTCAAGGGTCTGGAGGGCTGTGATACACATCAGGATATTACTTATGAAGATGTTGGATGATAGCAGCCATGACTGTCAACAGATGAATCAGCCATAAACTCATGCAATTATTTCAAACCCAAATCCAGAAATAAACATTATGCTTTTAGAGAAAGCCACCTAGGGAAGGTGACATATTTATTTCCTTGTGACACTTTGAGAACTCTTTGGGGAGGTCTTCTTGCTGAGCCTGGATGAGGATGAATCTTTGTCCTCTGAAGGTGGGTATGCTCTGTGCTCAGAGGTAACAGCCGTTCAGGAGCCAGACTGATGGAAAGGATGTTGGGTCAAATTAATGATTACACTTTATGACCAAAAGTCAAGTGAAAATAGACTGATTTTTTTCTTATGTCAGTTGTTAACCAGGAAGAATTTTCATTGTCCTTTCTCTTACAACACAGGGACCACTTCCCTGTCCTGTCCTGCTGGAACTTCCCTTTCAAATAAGTTTATTTGACAAGGTCAGGCCTTTGTCTAGTAGCCCT